TTTCTTTGATATAAACACAACTTGTCTCGGCAGTTAGGGATCTCTTTAACCTTTTATCTAATTCTCCAAAAGTCTTACATTTAATTTAGTTAAACAACCATGCATTTTTTTTTTATGAAAATTTGAATGCTACTGATATTTATGTGTATGTTGAAGTTGCTATATATATATTTTTTTCATTTTTTCAATAAATATTTTTTCTCGAGTCAGCAAAAGTTGCGTCGACATAGAGCATTCAAGGTACTTCTAATCTTTTTTGTAGGAGCATTCAAGGTACTTCTAATCTTTTTTGTAGGAGCATTCAATGTACTTCTAATGACTCTTTTATAGTATCTACAACAAGAATTTTTAAAAATGATTTTATCAAGCTTGTTCATACATTTATCTAAAACTTTACTTTGATATGTTTTAGAAAGAAAAAAATGAAAAATAATAGTTTAATAATAAAATGTTTAAATTATGTAGCTACTTTCTAGTGATTTTCTTTGTATGTGCATTGATTGGGTCGCAACAAATTTTCTGCCATATAAGATATATTTTCAAATATTTTTAGTCTGTCATTTACTTAACATATTTTAGTCAGTCTTTTATAAGTTTTATAATTACAACGTAAAGATATGATTGTTTTTTCTTTATTTCATTAAAGAAATAATTAAACTCATGGTTCTATAGATGAATTTTTTATGAGCTATAATTGCCAAAATTTCACAGACAAATACATATCAGCAGGGTTGATAGGATTAAATCAAATGGTTTAAACCAATAGTTTAAACCAATCAAAAAATATCTTGAGCTAAAATAATTTTTTTAAACAACTTTAAATTTTCAGCAGGAAAGTAAACCTGGGTTGTGTTTACAAATAAAATTATCTTTTATGTAAATATTTTCATGGAGATGCACATATTTAAAATCATAAATTTAATATAAATCATTTTTTATTTATACTAAATTTACAGTTTGTTATTTATTTGGCATTGCCTATTTGTTTTTTAAATGTGGCAACAGGTATATATATATATATATATATATATATATATATATATAATATATATATATATATATATATATATCAGTGACAAACTTAAATTTTATTTGGGCTACCATCTTTTTTTGACAAAATAAGTAATTCATAATCAACATCACAAAAAACAAATAAAAAGGTCTCAGCCCACTTTAACTTTAGTTAGTAAATGTTTGAAAATAGATATAGAAAATAGTTTTTTGCACAAATAAGTGACAAAAAGAGAAAGATTTGTTTAATATGCAACTTAGTAGATTTATATACAGTACAAATTCTAGCTTTAGAACAGTTGAACATAAAGAGTTTTAAAAATTTATCAATATGCTTTATCCTAGTTACACTTTACTTTATAGAACTCAAATTAGAGAAGCAATATTTGATAAGGTTAACACAGGAGAAATTAAATATTGTAATGTATTGAATAGGAAAATTGTAGCAATAACTTTAGATGGATGGAGTAATGTGCATAACAAACCAATAGTTTTCTGTATGTAATTTCATATAATATTACCTTTTAAATAGAAACAATTAGTATTTCTAATTTGTTATTTCCATACAAATGAATATCTTACACAATTGACAAGAGAAACAATAGAATCAGTTGCACATTAAATTGGATGTACAGTAAAAAGCTTTGCAACAATGCAACTAATATAAAATCAATGTGACAAGTATTTTCATCTGAAGGAGATAATATATGAATATCATCTGAATGAGATAAACTTATGGTTGTGCTGTTCATATGCACAACCCACCTAAATCTTTAAGCAAATGATTTTAATATTGAAAATGTGAGCAAACATGTTACACAGATAATAAAATATATACAAAATAATCATCAAGCTAGAAACATACAGTTAAAGACAATAAATGCAGAATAATTGTTGAAAATATTAAAACCAATTGTTTTAGATAAGTTGCAAAGAGATCAAATAAAAATGTGACACTGTTAGAATTTTTAAAGAGTTGATAAACATGTTATTGTTTTTAATAACTGAAAAAAAAAAAAGTTTCGGAAACTAGATATCTACAGACTGTCAGTGTTGCTCCTTTCCTTTAAACAGGCTGGATCATAGATATTTCGGATTTTTTTGAAAATAAAAATGGAGCTGCAACGACCTTTGGAGATAAAGAGTTTAAAAACTTGTTACCAATAATATTCAAGTTCAAAACTAAATCTGCTACACTTGATAAAAGCTATTTGTATAGTGAATCTGTTTTGAAAAATGTATCACCAATAAAATGGTGATCTCTAAAATCTTTGCAACAATGTTAATAAAAAATTTAATTACTTGGCAGTAATAGAAAAAATGTTAATAGAAAATTTAATTTACTCAAATGATTAATACTTTTTTCAATTAAAAAAATTGGACGTGTCTTTAAAAAGAAGATTTAAATAAGAAGTTTAAAAAGAAAGAGTTTAAACCAAAAAAAAGATGTTTTTGGGGTTTTTTAAAAAAACCCATGGTTTTTTGTTTTGTTTTGTTTTTTTTAAATGGTTTTTTTGCAACCCTGCATATCAGTATCCAAGGTGGCTAGTGATCCTTGAAAACCATGCAAACCTGGAATTTGATAGGTGTTATTATTAGTTTTGCGAAGATTTATACTGAATTTGATAATTATATATTTTCTGTAATGCAAAAAAAAAAATTGTTAAATGTTACAGTAATAAGATGTTAATACTGACATATTAACATTAAAAATAACTATATAAATAATAGATGTTAATAATACTGATGTAATATTAACATCTACTAATTATTTAGTTATTTTTCATTTTCATATATATTTTTTAATCAACATTGTTTTGTTTTTTTGGTCTAGTAAAAATCAATACATCTTTTAAAAACTCAAAAATTTTCTTGAAAATTATAGTTCTATATGTTACAATGGTTTTCCAGTTAGATTTTTGGTAACATGTAAGATTATAATTAACTAAAAATATTGATAGCAAAAAAAAAAAAATTGAATAGGGGTGTTTTGAGATAATGAGCCCTAAAATTGAGTCATATTAACTTTAGTCATTTATATTTTTTTTAACTTTTAGGCTTGTTTCCTTCATATTTTAGCATTTTAAGTACTTTTACTGAATTCTGCATCAAAAAAGAATTATAAATGCTTGTTTTCATATTTTTTTCATTGTTATTTTTATCATTTTATTAAGGAAAATGTTTTTTAAAAATGTTATGAAAACTAGGTCATTTTTGGAAACCAGGTTAATTTTAAAATGGGAACCATTTAACATTTTGGGCCAAAATATTTTGTGTGAACTTTTCTTTGTAACATGCAACATCTAAAAAAATTTGAAGAAAATATAAGACCCATAATTCAAAATTTCCTTAATTTTGGATAACTTGATGTAGAATTACCTCTATGTTATTGTAAAGATGTGACTGGTTAGTTTACTTTTCTTAGAGCATGATTCTGCTCTATGGCGACTGTTCATAGATAGCTCAAAATGGTGTCTCAAAAGCAGTTTTGATTTCAATGAATATATTGATTTCTTAGAAATTGCAAAGAATTTTATGATGTAGTTAACTGATTTCTAGGAAATTTGAAAGAATTTTAAGATGTAGTTTATTGATTCCTAGGAAATTGGAAAGAATTTTATCATGTAGTTTATTGATTCCTTAGAAATTAGAAAGAATTTTATCATGTAGTTTATTGATTCCTAGGAAATTGGAAAGAATTTTATCATGTAGTTTATTGATTTCTAGGAAATTGGAAAGAATTTCATCATGCAGTTTATTGATTCCTTAGAAATTGGAAAGAATTTTATGATGTAGTTTATTGATTTCTAGGGAATTAGAAAGAATTTTATGATGAAGTTCATTGATTCCTAAGAAATTGGAAAGTTACAAAAAATTACAAACAACTGGTTGCAAAGTTTATTGAAAAATTCAATAAACTGGATTGTCATGTAACCATAAATTCATATGTTGCATTCACATCTATATTTTTTTCCCTAAAAACATGGGTGATGTCAGCAGGAAGCATGGTGAGAAATTTCATCACAACATAGCAAAAATGGAAATATGTGAAAATTGCAATTATTATAACTCTTCTAATCTTAAAGAGTTTTGTATCTTGTAAGTTTAAAAATATTGTAAAGAATTGTTTCTTTTTATTTTTGCTAATATAATACTGCTTAAAATTATCTCTTTCTATAAAATCTCAAATCTTTGTATGGAATACTGTTGCTTTATCTGGAGCAGATTTTTGAATGATGCACTTTCTCTTAAAAACAAGATGCAAAAACAATGGTAAATATTGTTGGACCTGCTCTTACAGCTCCAACCATTGTCACATTGTTGTTATATTGCTTCTCTTTCTCTTTTCTATAAATACTATAACAAGCGCTGCTCTAAAGAGCTAGCATCTCTTGAACTTTACTTTGTAACCAATAGCGGCAGAGTATTTTTTGAGGGGAAAACTCATACTCTGTCGCTATTGGTTGCAATGTAAAGTTCAAGTCAAGCTTGACTCAAGTTTCTTGCATTTCACCCTTAGTCTCATCTTATTACTGTTGTTGTTGCTACATACTCCAAAAATTCTTATTTGTCTAGTTTTTTTCCTCAAACATTAATTCTTTGCAATTTACTCCCTTCATCTTGTTTTCCTGATTCATATAATTTGTAATCTTTTAAGTTGTCTGTTATTTGTTATCTTGCATTAAAAACTTGTTTGAAGTAAAAATGTTTTAAAAAAAAATACTTTTCAATATATAAAAAAAGAGTTCTACACGCTATGTCATTATCCTTACAATATTATAATAGATTATAATGTATTAGAATACAACATATTGAGAAAATAAATAAAGTAAGATATTGAAAATGAATGTGATTTTTGAATTCAGTGGCAAAAAATTAATAAACATTGAAAAATCTAAGTGGGCAGGACCTTTGTCATATTTTGTATATTTTTTTATTTTTTTTATTTTTTATTTTGCATATAAGTAATTAACAAGAAAGTATTGTAGGGACTGCATACTCTAAATCATTAAAAAAATATCATGGATGGATGGTTAGAGGAGTTTTTGCTGTGAGTTTTTAATTTTCTTTCTTTTCGTTTTTTTAAAGTTACAAATTTATTGTGTTACTGTGAGAAAATTATTGTTAAAACATAACTGTTATTAACAAAATCAAGTTATTACAAATATAGTTGGCATTAAAAGCATGTCCATATTATGATGATTTCATTGCATCGTTATCAACAAATGATGAAGTATCTACAAAGGAAGAGGTTTTACAAGAAATGTCGCATTGTGTTGAAGCTCTTACTAGGATTGTCTCTAAACTCAATCATTACTACAAAAAAAATAAACTGGATATTGACATCATTGTATAAGGTATTATAATTGTTTTCTAACTTTTATTAACCCTTTAACTACTGCTAAATAAGTTGTGCTGACTATTTCCGGCGCTTGAAAATAAAAATAATACCATGCAGGAATATTCTGGCAGCGTTACATAGACTTTCTTACAATGTTGTTATTACCTGTTCCCCTAATTTGTACTTATATTACAATATTTGCACTTGTTTTTTAAAGAAAGTCAGCCAGATAATTTAAGCTACAGAAATTATTATACCACTTAGCCGGAATAAGACAAATTTATATTGCGAAGCTGTAACAGCTATATTATGTTTTCAAAAATAGCATTTAATAAAAAAAGTTTACTCTTTGCAAGAGGTAATAAATTACTTTAGTAGTTTGGATTGTGACAATGATGAGAGGAGAGTGACAATGCTGACAAGGACAGTGGAAAAGATATTAGTGATGGTTCTCACAATGAGATTAAATTAAATATTAGCAATTTTAATGAAGATTGTACTAATGTTGAAGACATTGAAATAAATATTAACAATTTTGATGAAGATTGTGCTATTGCAGATGTTTTTTTTTTTTTTTTTTTTTTCAATTATTCACCTCCCCAAGGCCCGCGGGGGCCACTACAGTCAAGGAGGCTACTTTTTTTTTTTTTTTTTTTTTTTTTTTTTTTATAAGACAACAAGAATATCAAAGAAATGGAAATTGAAAGTCCTTTAGATTATTATATAGTAAATAAAAAACAAGTCAGCAACCTATAGACTTGTCACAACTTTATAAACAGTAGCTGGAATCCTGAAAATGGTGAATTAACAACACTACATCAGTTCCTAGGTCAACCTGGGTTTTATGTTGAGATTTCCGACTCTAGACCAATAAAATATTGCCAATTATTTGTTACTGATGATTTATTACATCACATGGTTGTTCAAACTAACCTTTTTGCTCAGCAATATATTGAAACCCACAGAAATATACCAAAACATTTCTATGTTTGTTTTTGGAACCTTACAACTATTTCTGAAATGAAAAAATTTCTAGGTTTGATCTTAATTATGGGTTTAGTTCAAACCGACTAAACATTTGTATTAGTCAGCTAATAAAATATTTCAAACACCAGTGTTTATTACAGTTATGTCTCGTAATCATTTTAATTCACTATTGAAGTTTTTTCCTATAAATGATAACCGAAATTTACCAAACCCTATTATCCAAATCAAGGTAAATTATACAAGTTACGACCAGTTATAGAGGAACTTTTTGATAAATTTCAAAGTGTTTATACCCTAAATCAAGGTATTGTAGTAGTCGTTGTTGCTGTGAAAAGGTAGACTACTCTTCAAACAATATCTTCCTCTTAAAAAAAGTAGATTTGGAATAAAACTATTTTGCCTATATGAAGACTCTGGGTACATGTATTACTTTAGAATTTATACTAGAAAACAAAAAAAAATCTAACTGATGCTATTAAAATTCAACTACCAGAAGAATGTAAAAGCTTTAATAATACTGAAAAAATTGTTATATACATGATGTTGCCACTTCTGAATAAACGTTGTACTATTTGGATGGATAATTGGTATTTTTCATGGTTTTTTCACTTTCAGCACTATGTAGAGCAATTTTGATCAATTCGCATACCACTAGTTGTAAAAAATGTTCTGACTAATGAAACTGCTGCATTTCACTTTGTCCCACTTCTATGTTTAAAGTACAACAATAAAAAAGATGTTTATATGCTTTCTAGTCAATATGATGAAGCTGTATCTCCAGTAAAAGGACGTAGAGGAAGACCTTCTCTCTCAGTAAACACAAAATCAAGATGTATTGTAGAGTACAACTATAATATGGATTCAGTTGACTAACACAATCAAATACAATAGGCTTTTAAAAATACTATTGCTTTAAAGAAACTATAGACTTAAGTTTTATACTTTTTTCAATTTGTATTTATTAAACTTTAATGATTTTTGTTGTGTATATTAGGTTGTTTTTGTTTGTATTTATTAACCTATGCATATATGCATATAGAATATTTAGAGTTTATTATGAAAACTAGTAATTTTGTGAAAATGCTTTATGCATATTTTACATGTAGAATGTGGTGCCTATTATTTTATGCTGTTTTTTCTATTTGGTCAGATAAATCTTTTCCTTAGTCAGAAATAAGTTTTTCACTTATTTTTTGCAAAAATATTTAAGCATTTTTTAACAAGCTTGCATAGCTCGCATAGCTACTTTTGTATGTGGATAACTTTAATTCAATGTTATTATTTTTATTTATTTTATTAGAGTAGACATGTACACCCCCCAATAAAAGAATGCTAAATTTGAAATTTTGTGATCGGATGTGTCAAAACTTGAGGTGATTTGATGTGTTCATGAGCCACACAAAAATTGACCTGATTTGTACATGACCTTCACAGAACTTGAGGTGATCAGATGCGTACATGAGCCAAACAAAACTAGAGGTGATATGATTTGTACATGAGCTACACAAACCTTGAGGTGATCAGATGTGTACATGAGCCACACAAAACTCAAGGTAATATGATTTGTACATGAGCCAAACAAAACTTGAGGTGATCTGATGTGTACATGAGCCACACAAAACTTGAAGTGATATGATAAGTGCTTTGTAAGAATCCAATAATTCATATGAATATCGTAAAATCAAATACAGTGAAGAAACCTTTTAATTTTAAGAGGATTTTAGATGGTTAATTAAGGGTAATTATAATTAAAAATAAGTTCATTTATTATAATTGGAATTATCAAAAACTCCAATAAATTGTTACATTGTTTCCTGCCTAGGATGATGTGTTACATTGTTTCCTGCCTAGGATTATGAATGCTGGATCTCCTTGACTCTACTCATAGAATTTTGCTTAAGCCTCTATGATAATGGCTATGCAACTCTTCCTGTTATCTCCATATGAGGGTACAGCTCTAAAACTCAGTTTAATGGTTCTGAGGCCGGCTGGTAGTAAGGTTTCCCAAACTCTGTGGTAGCTCTCAGAGAGGCTGATTCCATCAACAGCTGCAAAATATCAGAGTATTAACAGTGCCATGTTGCGCATGGATGGTGTCCCTGTTAATGCTTTTGGTGTGCATTGTCAAGGCCACATAAGGAGCCCTATGTCACAGCTTAGGGTTAATTAACAGGACTGAGACAACTGCATAGCTCATTGATTAGGAGGCTGTGCTCTATCTATGAATGAGTCAAGTTCTCATTAAACCCAAATCATGACCAAAGTAACCAAAAATTTAAAACCTAAAAAACCATCCCCACCACCTAAATATTTTAATATATCTTTTACAAATATTCGCGGTCTACGAAGCAACTTTCCATCAGTTGAGTCTTACCTCCTGCAAAATTCACCAGACTTGCTTGCACTCAGTGAAACAAATTTAATTTCTGCAATTCCTTCTTCAGATGTCAGTGTTGATGGGTACTATCCTTTGATTCGTAAAGACTCCAATAGTCACATGCTAGGTTTAGGGGTATACATACGCATTAATTCCCCTATTTGTCGTGAAATCAGGTTCGAATCCTTTGACCATTCTTTTATGTGCTTTCGCCTAGCACCTCTTCACTCTATAACCTTTCTCTTTTTTCTTTATCGTTCTCCTTCTTCCCATGATTGCACTCTCTTAGATGTTATCTCTGATCAAATTGACCATGCCCTCTCTCTTTACCCCTCTGCGAATATTGTTGTTGGTGGTGATTTTAATGCCCATCACACTGAATGGCTTGGCTCTAACACCACTGGTCCTGCTGGCACTAAAGCCTTTAACTTCTGCGTTTCTCAATCTCTTACTCAGATAGTTAACTTTGTGACTCGTTTTCCTGACAACCCTAATCATTTACCTTCACTCCTTGACTTAGGTCTTGTCTCTGACCCTAACTTATGTTCAGTTTCTCCCTTTTCTCCCTTAGGTGGTTCTGACCATGCAATAATTTCTATAAATCTTTCTTCTCGTACTTCTTTTTTGGGCTCACCTTATTATCGCACCACCTACTACTACCCTAAAGCTGACTGGGATTCCTTTCGTGATTTTCTTCGTGATGGTCCTTGGGCTGATGTTTTTTCTCTCTCAGCTGAAAAATGTGCCTCCTACGTAACCTCCTGGATTCAGGCTGGAATAGAAGCTTTTATTCCTTCGCGTCGGTTTCAAGTCAAGCCTCATTCTACTCCATGGTTTTCTCTATCTTGTGCGGCTGCTATATCCAATCGTAACCATTTTTTTCATCTTTTTCAAAAGAACAACTCTCTTGAGAACAAACGGCTATTTATTATTGCAAGAAATCAATGTAAAAAGGTGCTTTCTGATGCTAAACTCCATTATTCTCAGTTCACTAAATCTCGCATCTTATCGCAGAAGTTAGGCTCTAAAGACTTTTGGAAAATCTTCAACAGCATTGTTAACAAGGGTAGATCTAACATTCCATCTCTCATTCATGGGACTGATCTTGTTACCTCTCCCAGGGATAAGGCAGAACTGTTTGCAAAGAACTTTTCTTCTAATTCCACTCTTGAATCTTATGGACATTCTCTTCCTTCCATTCCAGTCAAACAGGTTGACCCCTTGTTAGACATTTAAATCACTCCGGCTTCTGTTGCTAAAGTCATATCTCAATTAAACTCGTCTACAGCTTGTGGTCCAGACAACATTCCTGTCACAGTCTTGCAGAATTGTTCCCCAGAACTTTCTTCAATTCTCTCTAAACTATTTAACAAGTGTTTGACTGAGTCTTGTTTTCCTGCTTGTTGGAAAATTGCATCTGTGGTTCCAATATTCAAAAACTCTGGAGAAAATTCTGACCCCTCCAATTATCGTCCGATCAGTCTTCTTTCTGTTATTAGCAAGGTCTTTGAGTCTTTAATCAACAAATTCCTCACATCTCATCTTGAGTCAAATAAACTGCTGTCAGACAATCAATATGGTTTTCGATCCTCTCGCTCTACGGCCGACTTGCTAACTGCTGTAACTGAAAGATTTTATCGTGCATTAGATGGAGGCGGTGAGGCTAGGGCTATTGCTCTCGACATATCTAAAGCTTTCGACAAAGTTTGGCATGCTGGTCTTCTCCATAAGCTTGCTTCATATGGTGTTTCTGGGAAAGTTTTTGAGATTATCAAATCATTTCTTTCTGACCGGTTTATTAAAGTCATCCTTGAAGGCCAACACTCTTCTTTATTTCCAGTAACTTCTGGGGTTCCCCAAGGTTCCATCCTGGGCCCTGTTTTGTTTCTTATCTACATAAACGATCTTCCTGACAACCTTTCATCTAAAGTAGCTCTTTTTGCTGATGACTCAACTTTATACTCCTGTCTTGACAAAAAGTCTTCTCTTTTCGATTGCCTAGAACAAGCAGCTGATCTTGAATCTGATCTCACTTCAGTAATAGATTGGGGTTCACAGTGGCTAGTGAATTTCAACGATAAAAAAACCCAATTGCTTACTGCAAACAACTATCGTAATATGGTCAACATTCCTATATTAATGAATGGCAATCCTCTTACTGAGTCGTTCTCTTTACGTCTTCTTGGATTATCGCTTACTACTGACCTTTCATGGAAACCATATATACAATCGATTGCTAAATTAGCTTCTGCTAAGGTTGCTTCTCTTTATCGTGCTTGCCATTTCCTTACTTCTGATTCCATTCTCTACCTCTACAAATCTCTTATTCGTCCCTGTATGGAATACTGTTGTCATATTTGGGCTGGTTCTTCTAACGATTCACTCTCTCTTCTTGACAAGGTTTAAAAACGCATTGTAAATGTTGTTGGACCTGGACTATCTGCTAAGCTTGAACCTCTTTCCCATCGTTGTAAAGTTGCATCTCTTTCTCTTTTCTACAGATACTATCATGGTCACTGCTCAAAGGAGTTATCATCTCTAGTTCCATCAACTAAAATTCATTATCGTTTTACTCGTCGTTCAGCTAAGTCTCATTCGTTTTCTGTATCTGTCCCTGCATGCTCTAAAAACTTTTATTCATCTAGTTTTTTTCCCCGCACTTCAATCCTTTGGAACTCTCTCCCATCTTCATGTTTTCCTGGCTCATACAACCTTCAACTTTTTAAGTCTTCTGTCAACTGTTTCCTTGCTCTATAACTCTGTTCTTTTTTTTTCCTAGTAACTCCCAACTTAATAGTGGTTGCTTGCAGCCTTGTTGGGAGTGAATGCAAATAAAAAAAAAAAAAAAAAAAAATTTAGCAGCCATGGTGCTAATATATTTACCTGTTAGAGTGATGGCTTATAAAAAGGATGATTCAAAAGGTCCAAGGCTAGCCTTTTTTGATCATACTGGGAGATTGGTAAGGAAGTTGGCACAAACATCCTTTTCAAATGATCTTATGCAGTTTTCTGTGATAAGACCATTAGGATTGCTTGGAGTACCTTATAAAAGTAGGGAAATATATAGTTTACACATTTTTTTTTTTTGTTAAAGTAAGTTTCTTAAACTATAAAATAATTAAAATTTTAAAAGTTAATTTAAACTATGAAAAAAAATTAACAAAAAAAAACTGTTAAAAAATGTTATAACTTTTATTTAAACTTTTCATTTAAAATTATTTTATTAGATTTAAACTTGACCTTCTTTCTTATTTATTAATATTTTTATGTTTCTATTAGAATTTTAATTTATTTTGTTTTCATATTTTCTTTTGTTGGTATAGTAAGTGTTTTATTTAGTTATTTTTATTTGTATTCAATAGATCTACACTTTTTATATCATATCATCAAAAAAATATTGGTGCTTTACAAATTTGGGGTTGGTTAGGTTTTGGCTATTTGTAGTGAGTCCTTTTTTACTGCAGTATGGAATAGGCATAAGTCGCAGGGTAAAGCATAAGTGGTGATGACGTTTGTCTGACGGGATAAACTAGTTATAAATGCTTATCCTCATCAATACGCCAGTAATAATAGATGCGACTAATAACAGAGGAGATGTTTATTACTTAATCACTACACAAATTATGTTTACACATTAGCATTAATTTTTTTTTTCCATTATTAGGCCTTTCATTGTTGTTAGCCTATTTTTATTTTGTGATCGGTTTTTTGTTTTATAAGTTTTTGTCTGGTAATGTATTTGTTGTATATATGCCGCTTACATTTTTATTAATTTTAAATGTTCATATTGGTGTTTATAAAACAATTTTTTTTTTTTTTTATTATTATTTTTTTTTTAATTGTTACTATTGTTGAGTACTGTTTTGGGTGTACAACCTGTCTTATTTATTTTTAAATATTCTTCTATTAATCTTTATTTTTGTCTTGACAACTGTCAAAATATGCTTTATCTGATAAATAATTCTCCTTTATTCTAATGTACTTCATTTCTTCCCTCAGGCGTTCACTGCTCGTGTGTGACCATTCGGCGAATTTTATATGCCAAAGTTTTTAAATAAAATTATTTTATTAAATGTAAACTTGACCTTGTTAAAAGCTATGGTACAATTTTGAATTAGAAAAAGAAATTGTCTAAAGTTAAATATAGATAATATTTTCAAAATCCAGCTTATTTAGGTTTCGTAAAATCTCCTACACTTAAGATACTCTACTGCTGTACCACCACCACTTGTAATTTTTAATTTAAATCTTATGTGAAACACCCATGTAAAACATCATAATGTGAGCTTATGACATCATTAGTTTACTTCCATATCATAGAATATTTTGATATTTTCTTAGAGTATGTGTAATACTATATTTCAAAGATTTTAAACTAGAAAATAAATTTAATTTTTTTGATTTAGAATTCAATGACAATCAAAGTTTCAAGAAATGTCAAAAAATGTTGTAATATGTTTGCTAAGATACGTATGCTGCAATAAGTTGTTGAAATGTATGTTGTAAAAAGATATGTATGTTGCGATAAGTTGATGAAAAGACACACACAGCATGTGTGCAAGTTGAATAATGTAGTAATACTAAAAAAATATTAGATAACTTGTTATAATAAAAATTTTATTTGTAATTGTAGTACTTTCAATTTTAAATTTTTATTGTACTAAGTTTTTTGATATTATTATGCTTGTGTGCTTGCATAAGTTTTACGTATGTAAGCATTGTATATGCTTACATACTTGTTTGTATGCTTGCTTAAGATAATGTTAAAAGTATGGATTTATATTTATTATGAGGGAATTTTTCTTATATTTATTATTTTATATTTAAACTTTTTTGTCAAGCTAATAAAGATTTTCTCAGTTCTTAAGTTACTAATTTTGTATTCAAAATTAATTAGTTATAGTATTCACTTTATTAGTTCCCCGAGGCTGTTGAGCCACTACAATGAAGGAAGGTAATTTTTGTTTTATTTATCTTGGCAAAATTTTGCATAAAACAAATTAAATGTTGTACTCGCTCAAAGCTTAAATTTAACTTTAATAAGTGTGTAATGGAGTTCAATCTTTTATCAGTTGCTGTATGCACATAAAGTTAACTGATCTCCTACCTTTGAGTCAATAACCGAAAGCATATAGAAAATTGTTAATTAACCATAATACTAGCATCAGATTTTTGAGTTTATTGAAATATATATATATATATATATATATATATATATGTATATATATATATATTTGTGTGTGTGTGTGTATATATATATATATATATATATATATATATATATATATATATATATATATATATATATATATATATATATATAGCGAAAAATATCTGATAAAAATATCTGATCTATAACCATTTTAGGTTGACACAAAATTTTATTAAAGGTTTGACCACAAGCATGTGAAATTTTATTTTTTTATATTCAAACTGTGCCAATTTTACTTTATTATTTTATTTAGAGTTAATAAAATATTTGTTTTTCCATTTTTATATTTATTAAATTGTTTACAATTTTATTAAAATGTTTGTATTTGAAATAAACTATTTGTTTTGCTGCTCATCATTTACTAAATAATTAAAAAAAAAAATCAGTTTTTTTTTTAATTATTTCATTTTTTTTTGTATTGTTTAATCTAGAATTTAGTTGAAATATTTTTTTATGTTTTTTTATTTTAGGTGTTATGAGTTTTTAATTTGTTCAATTGTTTGTGATTTATTAATTTGTTAAGTGATTTATTAATTATTATGATTATTAATTAAATGCGTTGTTTTGTTTACAATTGAAATAAAACATTCTTTTTACCATTTTTTTTTAATTATTTTATTGAGAAGTTGAATTGAATGTTTGTTTTTTTTTGTTTGTTTGTTTGTTTTTTTGCATTATTTTATTTTGAATTTAATTAAAATATTCATTTTTCCATATTTGATTTAACTATTTTATTTTGAATTGATGAAAGTGTAAAATTAAAAAAGTTTGATAAGTGATTTTCTACTAATTTATATATAATATTTATATCTATATATATATATATATATATATATATATATATATATATATATATATATATATATATATATATATATATATATATATATATATCTGTGTGTATATATTTATAATTTTATAAAATTTATTGAATAGATGAATGAACAAAAACATGTTGTTATTGTTGGTGGCGGGTTAGTTGGTTCATTAGAAGCATTGTTTTGTGCTCAACGCTCATATAAAGTAGATGTTTTTGAATACCGTCCTGATCCGAGATTGCAGAAATATGTTGCTGGCAAAAGTATAAATTTAGCGTTATCTGAAAGAGGTCGTGCTGCATTGCGTAGCATAGGTGCTGAAGATTATATTGTTAAAACCTGTATACCCATGTATGCTAGGATGATACACTCACACAATGGAAAACGCACACCGATTTCATATGGGAAAAATGATCAGTGTATTCTTTCAGTTGATCGAAGAAAACTTAATGAGCATCTAATCAATTTGGCAGAGAAAAATGTAAATATAAGCTATCATTTTCAAAGTAAATTTGTTTCTTCAGATTTTGATCGAGGTAAGATAAGGTTTGAAAAGAATGGAGAGTTATCAGAACATTATGCTGATTTAATTGTTGGTTGTGATGGTGCTTATTCTGCTGTTCGCCAACAATTATTAAAAACAACCAGGATGAATTATTCTCAAGTAAATAAAGTTGTTGTTGTTTATTTTTTTTTAACTTTTGTTGTGTGTGTAAAAGATTTATTTTGTGCATAGATATTACCTACCCAACTTGATCCCATTAATGTAAGTGTCTCTATTTCAGTATTTCCTTTTCTTCTTAAAAATAATATGATTAGTTATAATATGATTACCAAATAACAGGAGAAGATAAAGGAAAAATAAGTAAGTTTATTAAGGCCTCCATAAACGACGAAAGAGAAACACAATAAAAAACACAGGAAGGAGACCAAACCAAAAAAGAAGTATAGAATACAATTGTATTTCTGTCAGAGAATACAGAGTTATTCCCCACTGACGATAATTTTATTATTTATAGTATATAAGTGCTTTTACCAAATATATTTGGTTTAAATTGCGGCCTGTCATAATATCATTGACTTCTTATACGTTCTTCCTCTCTCTTTTTACAAAAATGCCAGTATTTCACTTTTATGTTGTTGTTTTTTTTTGTAGTAGATGTAACCTGTGTTACATTGTTTCCTGCCTAGGATGATGAATGCTGGATCTCCTTGACTCTACTCATAGAATTTTGCTTATGCCTCCTTGATAATGGCTATGCAACTCTTCCTATTATCTCCATATGAGGGTACAGCTCTAAAACTCAGTTTAATGGTTCTGAGGGCGGCTGGTAGTAAGGTTTCCCGAACTCTGTGGTAACTCTCAGAGAGGCTGATTCCATCAACAGCTGCAAAATATCAGAGTATTAACAGTGCCATGTTGCGCATGGATGGTGTCCCTGTTAATGCTTTTGGTGTGCATTGTCAAGGCCACATAAGGAGCCCTATGTCACGGCTTAGGGTTAATTAACAGGACTGAGACAACTGCATAGCTCATTGATTAGGAGGCTGTGCTCTATTTATGAATGAGTCAAGTTCTCATTAAAACCAAATCATGACCAAAGTAACCAAAAATTTAAAACCTAAAAAACCATCCCCACCACCTAAATATTTTAATATATCTTTTACAAATATTCGCGGTCTACGAAGCAACTTTCCATCAGTTGAGTCTTACCTTCTGCAAAATTCACCAGACTTGCTTGCACTCAGTGAAACAAATTTAATTTCTGCAATTCCTTCTTCAGATGTCAGTGTTGATGGGTACTATCCTTTGATTCGTAAAGACTCCAATAGTCACATGCTAGGTTTAGGGGTATACATACGCATTAATTCCCCTATTTGTCGTGAAATCAGGTTCGAATCCTTTGACCATTCTTTTATGTGCTTTCGCCTAGCACCTCTTCACTCTATAACCTTTCTCTTTTTTCTTTATCGTTCTCCTTCTTCCCATGATTGCACTCTCTTAGATGTTATCTCTGATCAAATTGACCATGCCCTCTCTCTTTACCCCTCTGCGAATATTGTTGTTGGTGGTGATTTTAATGCCCATCACACTGAATGGCTTGGCTCTAACACCACTGGTCCTGCTGGCACTAAAGCCTTTAACTTCTGCGTTTCTCAATCTCTTACTCAGATAGTTAACTTTGTGACTCGTTTTCCTGACAACCCTAATCATTTACCTTCACTCCTTGACTTAGGTCTTGTCTCTGACCCTAACTTATGTTCAGTTTCTCCCTTTTCTCCCTTAGGTGGTTCTGACCATGCAATGATCTCTATAAATCTTTCTTCTCGTACTTCTTTTTTGGGCTCACCTTATCATCGCACCACCTACTACTACCCTAAAGCTGACTGGGATTCCTTTCGTGATTTTCTTCGTGATAGTCCTCGGGCTGATGTTTTTTCTCTCTCAGCTGACAAATGCGCCTCCTACGTAACCTCCTGGATTCAGGCTGGAATGGAAGCTTTTATTCCTTCGCGTCGGCTTCAAGTCAAGCCTCATTCTACTCCATGGTTTTCTCTATCTTGTGCGGCTGCTATATCCAATCGTAATCATTTTTTTCATCTTTTTCAAAAGAACAACTCTCTTGCTGTTTATTATTGCAAGAAATCAATGTAAAAAGGTGCTTTATGATGCTTAACGCCATTATTCTCAGTTCACTAAATCTTGCATCTTATCGCAGAAGTTAGGCTCTAAAGACTTTTGGAAAATCTTCAACAGCATTATTAACAAAGGTAGATCTAACATTCCATCTCTCATTCATGGGACTGATCTTATTACCTCTCCCAAGGATAAGACAGAACTATTTGCAAAGAACTTTTCTTCTAATTCCACTCTTGAATCTTATGGACATTCTCTTCCTTCCATTCCAGTCAAACAGGTTGACCCATTGTTAGACATTCAAATCACTCCAGCTTCTGTTGCTAAAGTCATATCTCAATTAAACTCGTCTACAGCTTGTGGTCCAGACAACATTCCTGTCACAGTCTTGCAGAATTGTTCTCCAGAACTTTCTTCAATTCTCTGTAAACTATTTAACAAGTGTTTGACTGAGTCTTGTTTTCCTGCTTGTTGGAAAATGGCATCTGTGGTTCCAATATTCAAAAACTCTGGAGAAAATTCTGACCCCTCCAATTATCGTCCGATCAGTCTTCTTTCTGTTATTAGTAAGGTCTTTGAGTTTTTGATCAACAAATTCCTCACATCTCATCTTGAGTCAAATAAACTACTGTCAGACAATCAATACGGTTTTCGATCCTCTCGCTCTACGGCCAACTTGCTAACTGCTGTAACTGAAAGATTTTATCGTGCATTAGATGGAGGCAGTGAGGCTAGGGCTATTGCTCTCGACATATCTAAAGCTTTCGACAAAGTTTGGCATGCTGGTCTTCTCCATAAGCTTGCTTAATATGGTTTTTCTTGGAAAGTTTTGGAGATTATCAAATCATTCCTGACAACCTTTCATCTAAAGTAGCTCTTTTTGCTGATGACTCAACTTTATACTCCTGTCTTGACAAAAAGTCTTCTCTTTTCGATCGCCTAGAACAAGCAGCTGATCTTGAATCCGATCTCACTTCAGTAATAGATTGGGGTTCACAGTGGCTTGTGAATTTCAACTCTAAAAAAACCTAGTTGCTTACTGCAAACAACTACCGTAATAAGGTCAACATTCCTATATTAATGAATGGCAATCCTCTTACTGAGTCCTCCTCTTTACATCTTCTTCGTTTATTGCTTACTACTGACCTTTCATGGAAACCATATATACAATCGATTGCTAAATTAGCTTCTGCTAAGGTTGCTTCTCTTTATCGTGCTTGCCATTTCCTTACTTCTGATTCCATTCTCTACCTCTACAAATCTCTTATTCGTCCCTGTATGCAATACTGTTGTCATATTTGGGCTGGTTCTTCTAACGATTCACTTTCTCTTCTTGACAAGGTCCAAAAACGCATTGTAAATATTGTTGGACCTGGACTATCTGCTAAGCTTGAACCTCTTTCCCATCGTCGTAAAGTTGCATCTCTTTCTCTTTTGTACAAATACTATCATGGTCACTGCTCAAAGGAGTTATCATCTCTAGTTCCATCAACTAAAATTCATTCTCGTTTTACTCGTCATTCAGCTAAGTCTCATTTGTTTACTGTATCTGTCCCTGCATGCTCTAAAAACTTTTATTCATCTAGTTTTTTTCCTCGCACTTCAATCCTTTGGATCTCTCTTCCATCTTCATGTTTTCCTGGCTCATACAACCTTCAACTTTTCAAGCTTCTGTCAACCGTTTCCTTACTCTATAACTCTGTTCTTTTTTCTCCTAGTAACTCCCAACTTAATAGTGGTTGCTTGCAGCCTTGTTGGGAGTAAATGCAAATAAAAAAAAATAAAAAAACTTATAAAAATGCTAAGACTTAGTTTAGTTGTTATTTTTGCTGTATAACATCAGGAAAACACCTTTAATGTTTTACTGATCAGTAAATCAGTAAATCATAAACTTACATAGATCATAACTATAGCGCATAAAATAATTGATAAAATATATCAGTGTTTATCTCTTTAAATTAAACAATGTTAGGGTATTTCGTTTAGTAATAGTATGTCCTCTCAAATGTTGCAACATAAGAAGGTTTGACATAGATGGGTTTTACTTGCTTGTTTTGAGGATGATACCCTGACAGGAGTTTCTGGGAATAAGCTTCAAAACGTTTAAAATGTGACATACCAGAGTCCTAAATTCTTCTAAGGGTCAATACTATATCCATGACGATTCCATGATGAGAATCTGGTATTATACTACAAAATTTACAATTTTATTTAATGCTGATATTTTTTTATACTTTTTCATTATGTAAATCTGAGCATACTTTTCCTTCTTATAATATGTTTGTTTGTTTTTCTTGTTTGTTATAATATCGCTACTTATTGTTGTGTTTTAATTATAAAAATATATAATTATAGAAATATTATGTTATCTCATCATTATCACAGTGATAGCAATCATTTATAATTGTATTGGTTTTTACATAATATCCCAATAAAATATGACAGTTGTTCCGTCATAATTTCTCTGCCTAATTTATCCTTTAACTAATCCAGTTTAAGCTAATTTATCCCTTTACTCATCCAGTTTAAGCCTATTCCTTTACTAATCCAGTTTTAGCCTAATTTATCCCTTTACTAATCAGTTTAGGACTTAAGCACATGAAAATAATCTGTTGTTTTTTTTTTCTTGTAAGTGTAAAGTTTTGTTGAAAGTATAAACCTGCTCTTACTATTTATCAAATTAACTATGTGCTTCAAAACAAACAAATTAACTATGTGCTTGAACCATTCAAAACAAACATAAACTAATCATAATTCAAATAATTGGACTGCACTCAAAAGTTAAGTATATCTAAATAAAAATTAAACATTAAAAAGGTAATAATTCCACTAAACCATGTAAAGTAATTTTAATTTTATTAAAACTAAATAAACTTTTATTAAAATGAACAACTGCACCAGGCTGTATGCATTTAATTTACACGTAAACAAAAGTTAGAACAAATAATCTCAGTAAACCATATAAAATTGAAATTATTATCAACTAAAAATAAAAATAAATCCTAAAAGAATAACTTTACTAAAATGTATATTAATTTATGTATAAACTGAATATAAAATGAGTGACTTGAATAAACTCTATAAATTTAACTAAGGAAGTGACTGGGACTTGGCTAAAAATAAGATTTTTTCCAAACACGGCTAATAAAATGTGTTTAATTCTTTATATATTAAAGTTTTATATATTTATTAAAAAATTGCATTTATTTATATATTTTTAAACTCTAAATTACTTGCAACAAGGTTGTAAGCAACAACTTTTAAGTTATGAGTTACTTTAAGGTAGAGGATAAGTTACAAAGCTAGAAAAGAGTTAACTGAAAAAAAAGCAAAACATGAAGATGATGATGAAGATGATGATGATGATGATGATGATGATGATGATGATGATGATGATGATGATGATGATGATGATGATGATGATGATGATGATGATGATGATGATGATGATGATGATGATGATGATGATGATGATGATGATGATGATGATGATGATGATGATGATGATGATGATGATGATGATGATGATGATAGTAAAAGAGAAATTTTCTTGGCACAGATACATATAATAAAAAAAAAATTATTTTTTATCTATTTATCTATGAAATAAAATTAAAAACAAATTTTGATTAGGACATTTTTATTGAGATTTGGATGAGCAAAATTTTTTTTTTAATTATTTTAAGATTGCAACCTCTAGTTATATAGTAAAGTTAAAAATCTTTATGAAAGATTTTAAAATATAAAAATATTTTCTTCACATAGGTAAAATATATCCTCTGTATATATTTTTATTTTAGTTTTACATTCCTCATGGTTACAAAGAAATTGAAATGTTGCCAAATGAGCATGGTGAATTTGCAATGGAGATAAATTACTTTCACATTTGGCCGCGTAATGAATTTATGATGATAGGTCTCCCTAATCAAGACAAATCATTTACTTTAACTTTATTTATGCCTCTAGATAAATTCGACTGCATAACATCTGAACAGGATAT